TTTGTTCCGCCAGTAGTTGGATGTACTTTGCATGCTCCTGGTCGTCTTTGTCCAATTTTCGCTGGTGGTGGAAAACTTTCTGGTTGGTGTCTGTTCTTTCTGACCGATGACATGTCGAACTAAGGTAGTAAAACCTTCTACCAAATTTGTGTTTGGGGCTAAACCAATCCCTACACTGTTCGAGAATAGGTTTTAAAGGAGGTAGTCTCGAATCTGAGGTGTTTTTTGGCGTTAGGCGCAGGACCAGAGGTCACATCTGGTGTTTCACAGCCTATGCAGGTCTTGAAAGTTAAGGTGAGTGGACGCTGCCACAAGTATAATAGTTCCAGTGTCTACCTTTTCGCCTGCACCTTTACAAACCTGGGACAAGTAGGCTCATTGAGTAGGGGCAGTCTATCTCAGTAATATTATGGACGGTGTGCAGTGGTCAGGGTCACGCTTGTTCGACGTACACTTCTGCCTTGAAGGTGAATGGCGCCAGCTCCATTACAACCCTCTTGTTCTATGATCGCCTTTTGATGCAAGGGTGTATTCAAGCAAGTATACTTTAAGAAACGTAGATAAATAAACAATATGTTCCGATAGATTTTTTGCATTATGACAATCTTCTAGTAATTACTACTACTATGGGGACGGTAATCACAAAGTAGGAGTGCTGACGTCATTTAAATTTTGACACAGCTTCTTCCTACTTTAATTTCGCGGACAGTATAATATGGTATAGTAAATAAGAGTTCTACGCGATCTACGTAGAGGATGAATGTTCTGCAACTGAAATACTTGAATCCCTCCTGCGGCATATTGCTACGTAGGCAGTCATCGGGGAAGATGCATAGCCTTGACTTTGATTGTGAGTTAATTCTATGGCACCGTCAATCTGCTGTACTCAGTTTCGTTGCAAGGAGGGTGGTTCTACCTGGGAACATTGTCGAGATTTCTTGGTCTCAATCACCGCAACAGTCCCCAGTCTGATTGTGTGAACCTGTCATAGACGCCAAAGGGATGGCCACCCTAGAGGAAACAGTCACAGTAGGTATTCAAACGCTCCTCGACCTCTTCCTATGCTTATTCAGGCCCATCTCATAGGCTCATACCATAGCTGTTCTTTGTGGCATCCCGGCCAGTGCTCCTACATCCAGTTTGAAAGGCGTGTAAATGTTCAATGGTAAACTGACAAAATAGCAACATAGCACAGCATTACTGTGCCGAAGATAAGTTTCAATTGACATCTGCTCCGAATTTATGAACTTCCTCTCCTGACTGAACAGGTCTTCGTGACACTAGAATGTCTATTCTTGGTGTGAATGCTTGTGCAGAGAGGAACACTGCAGGATGGTCGCTACTGCTAAAAAAGATTTGCCGCTCAATTTTTGTACATATTCTGTGTATTCGGGATGCAGTTCGATGAAGGCATTCAACTAAATTGGGCACTTAGCCCATAAGCCCACTTTTCATCCCTCCGTGCACCAACCACCTATCACTCTTTCGAGCGTGAGCACTCTTATATTAACACGCCAATCCTAGCACTGATGCTCGACCAAACACGATACCAAGTATAAGGCACAGAATATGTGTAAATTCTCGCAAATCAAACAGTTCCCTAGAATTCCCCTTTTTTTCACAAGCCTTTTTAATTAGCTTCAGGAGCGCCTAATTGGATAGCAAGAGGGGCAATTGTGGCATGAGCCTGATAGATGGGTCAAGAGAAGCATAAGAAAAGGTCGATACGCGTTTGGATGCCACAGGTGTTACAGCCAACTTCAA